ATTTACGCTTTCGTATTCCTCCGTTGTATACAGCAATGACGATAGGTCCGGTACTATCTACTCGTATTTAATGACATTCTTTACGCTTTCATCCCTATCTGACTTTTGTTTGAAGTCGATGAATTCCCGTCTCTCTCCTATATTATACTTTTTAATTGATACGATCCATTGTATCATATATATTTTACGTTACTTTTCAAGCATTTAGGAGGTAGACGCAAATGTAAAGCAAAGTAAAATATATTGATATATTTCCCTAATAATAGTATTTATAATATATATCTGTCATTATTCGAGTAAGGTGCTGAAGCTGACGCAGATAATAGATGTACAAGACATGTTTGAAAGAATAATAGAATTAAATATAATAGCTATTAAGACCATCAGTATACAAAGCCTCTTTGGCTGGTAAATTGATATATGCCCATATAGACTAATTGTATAACTGTTTATTTTATGACTATATAAAAAAATAAATTTTAGGGTGGACCACCCTTAACATTTAAAGGGATGAAAAATAGACGTCCGATACTCCACCCTGGCCGATGTGCACACAAAATTTCACGAAAATCGGTCGAGCCGTTTCGGAGGAGTTCAATTACAAACACCGTGACACGAGATTTTTATATATTAGATACTTTGACATTAGCATTATTAATACTCAGACCAATGACGTTTTACTAAAGATGACGCCTGTTCATACTACGGGGCGTTCAAAATAATTCCGCTTTACATAAATAAGTGAATCATCATCATCATTTCAGTCTGTTTGAGTCCACTGCTGAACATAGGCCTCCGCCATGGACTGCTACGAAGTACTATCCTGAGCCACCTGCATCCATCGACTTACTGCACTGCCCACCCTGCGATGACCAGTACGAGCCTGCCACTCGAGAGCCCTTCTTCCCCAACGGGTATCGGTACTACGAGCTATATGGCTGGCCCATCGCCACTCCAGCTTGCTAATATTCTGAGCTGTGTCGGTTACCTTGGTTCTACTGCGGATATCTTCAGTAATTTGAGTTTTTTTTTTATGTGAAAAGTTGCCAAGCGAGCAGGTGGTTCACCTGATGTTAAGTGAACACCACCGCCCATGGACATCTGCTACACCCAAGGGTTTGCAGATGCGTTGACAACCTTTTGAAGATTGAGCTCCGGCCATCTCACCAGACGAAACGCGAAAGCATTTGTTATACTTCCAATTTACGCCGGTCTCCTGTGAGGCCGTGGTACTTACCCGGACGAGCCTGCCCATTCGTGCAACACCCGAGGCTGCTGCGTGGCCCTACCACCGTAGAAGAGTGCCTTAGTTTCGGTGCATTAGTGTCATATCTACCTCATATTTGTATATAATACCATTGATTCAGACGGACAATGAGAGCTGCACACTATTTGACATGTCAGAAATGTAAGTTTAAAATAGACGTTTCATTTTCAACGTGTAGTTTTCTAGTTAGTGTAAGAAATTATCATCAATACTCCTTCTGACATTGCTTTATGAGATGCAGAGTATGACGGTCAATAAATCTGTGCCTACAAAAACGACTTTCTCTTTATGCTTTATATCTAACATACCTTGATAAAAGCAAGTATCCTAACAGTATATAATTTTATTGGAGCTACGCTATGTGTCTATATCTTCACTCTTTACAACGAGACTGTTAAGACACAATCAAGTATTTGTCTGTCTTGATTTCTTTTCAGTATATTTTGTATTTAACTTTATGATAGACATGTGTCCTAAAGCTTAAATATATTCTGTATCTAGTATAACTTGTTGAATGCAGATGCTGTAGCTTAGTTTTGCTAGTGATATATTTGCATAATGACTTTCTGTAATTGTCTATCTGATATTATTTTTAACCGACTTCAAAAAAGAAGGAGGTTTCTCAATTTGACCGTATACATTTTTACTTTTTTTATGTGTGTTCGCAGATAACTTCGTCGTTTATGAGCCGATTTTGATGATTTTCTTTTGTTGGAAAGGAGTTATCCCAAGGGTGGTAACCATGATAAGGAAATCCGATGATGGTATACCAAAGAAATTGAGGCCCATTCTCAAATGTTATAGGTATTAACAATGATTTTAGTTTCCAGTTTGAAGTCGGTTTTTTTTTGTTAAAAATTATAATTATTTCCATCTATTCTCTACCTTTGATTATACTATCTTGAAGTCTACGGTGCTGTGTTGGCAGCCCGGTTTGTGTCCTAGAGGTCTCCTCGCTCGACTCTATTGTTTACGGACCTCTATTGATAGAGTTTACAACGTTGCCAGTTGCAACACGGCACAGAGCGTGCAGCGTAAAGGAAGCGGTTCATTACTCGTGACCTCCATTCTTCCTCCTCCATTAATAACGCTGCTTCTCGTTTCGTTTGCGATGCCCACTGTTGGGCGAATCCGTTGGTTGGGGAGAAGGTTTCTCCACATATGATCATGAACATACCTATGGAGTTAGAGTCGAGTTGTCACGTTTGTTTTTTTGTTATTTATAATATAAAACTTTGCTCGTTGAAGAGAAGTGAATGTAGTAATAAAATACAGGTCGCTGGTATACGATTTAAAAGTAAAAGTAATTAAAGCATCAGCCTATATGTCCCACAGCTGGGCAAAGGCCTCTTCTGTACAGAGAGTATCAGGGCATAGTCCACCATGCGGCCCCACTGCGTATTGGTGGACTTCACATATCTTCGAAATATTTTATTTTGTTAATTATTTCGAAAATATGCAGGTTTCCTCACGAAGTTCTCCTTCACCGCTGTGCAAGTGATAAATCAGCACTTAAAATTAACAATTTCATTATAACATTCATACTGCCCGGGTTAAAGTATATACTAAGGATTATTTAGAAAATTTTCAATTACTCCTCACGATGTTATCCTTCACCGTTCAGCACTTGATAAGTCAACACCTCATCGTCATCAACATTGCAGCCGGTTGGACTCCACTCCTCAACATAAGACCCCACAGACTGGCATAAAGCACGACTCTGAGCCACATAGAGGTACATTCGACGAGAAGATATGCCGAAGTTGCCCGAATGCTGCCCATCCGGTTGGATTCGCCGATTGAGCTCTGCGTCGAAGTTGGACTTAGCTAGCCGGAATTAACAATTACATTGGTGCCGGCACCGGGATCGAACTTCTGTCTGCTCTCTCTCGATCTCTGAGCGCATCGAATTGAAAGCGATCGCCTGGGAAGTAAGCTATCACGTCTACTTTACATCACTACTTAGTATAAAACAAAGTCGTCCCGTTGTCTGTCTGTCCCTATGTATGCTTAGATCTTTGAAACTACGCGACGGATCTTGATGCGGTTTTTTTACTAGACAGAGTGATTCATGAGGAACGTTTATATGTATAATGCATTGCTCCCGTGCGAAGTGGGGGTGATTCGCTAGTATACGGATAATGCAAACTTAGGTGTGGCCATGTGAGGTGAATTGAAAGCGAGCTCGAAAAATAAGTTACCGCGGCGTTATATAATACTAGTTGCTGCCCACTTCTACGTCTTCGTAGAATAGGCTGAAGGTGTAATATTAATACAGAAAGACAGATATACATAAAATATGTAAATAAATTATAGCCTTTATTGTCTTATGAGCTATATTATTGTAAATTTTCATTACAATCCATCCTACAGAATTGGTTGTAATGAAACTTTACAATCCATTCCGCAATACAATAATAATGTATTTGCGTGAAAGACAAACAAATATCCATCCATACAACTTTCTCCTTTATAATATTAAGTAAGGACGTACTCGTAATGGTTGTAATTACGTCATCGACTCCTAACATCTATTGATTTCTAACGCGACCTAGTAAAACGGCTTCTGTCAATCGACCGTCACATTTGACGGAGCGACGCCGACGTGCGTGGGTTGTATCCCATTCAATTGATCTAACTAGACACAACATTTTCACTAACAAAAAAAACCGGCTAAGTGCGAGTCGGACTCGCTTACGAAGGGATCCGTACCTATATCTATAAAAACGGCAAAAAAATAATAACTGTTGTATGGGAGCCCCACTTAAATATTTTTTTATTCCGTTTTTTAGTATTTGTTGTTATAGCGGCAACAGAAATACGTCATCTGTGAAAATTTGAACCGTCTAATTATCACGTTTGCTATACAACCTGGTGACAGACAGACAACGGAGTCTTAGTAATAGGGTCGCGTTTTACCCTTTAGGTACAGCACCGTAATGAGTGCGTGTAACCTTTACACGCGTTTTTGAAGTAAAACATTTTTTTTAAATCGTTAATTAAATAATTTTATTGGGGGATATTTATTAGTTTTCTCGTCTGGTTCGGTTTATAAATAAAATAAACATATATAGATATATATTACATATACTAGATAAACATAATAAATAAAAATTTAATTTATCATTAATGTATTCATTAGTAATAAACTATTAACATTTCTTTTCAACTGTGGTACACGCAACAGTCCGGATAAGTACCACGATCTCACAGAAGACCGGCGTGAAGTGGAAGTGTTGAACCTCTGCGTATCGTCTGGTGAGTGAGGTAGCCGGGGCCCACTCTATTAAAAGTTGGCAACGAATCTGAAACCCTGGTGTTGCAAATGTCCATGGGCGGCGGATATCACTTAACACCAGGAGACCCGCCCGCCCGCTTGTCACCTTCTCACATAAAAAAAATAAATGCAACTTATTGTTAGAAATGCAGAACCTCAAAGTTCACGATTAGTTTTAACAAAATATCATATATTATTACTACTAGTTTTAACTAAATATCAGCATTAGATTCGAAGGAGAGCAACTGTATAAAAAACTACCAGAGGATAACGTAGGATGTTAATTATTCTTTGTATTCTTTGTGTCGTAAATTAAATTTGAATTTCATAATGTTTATCATACGTTACGTGAACTATATAACGTTCTCGTGATAGATAAATGTCTTTCACCTGATATACTCTACGCTCGTAAAAGATCCACACGACTCTACATCGCAAAGGACTCTGGGGACGCTACGCGCTTGCGCGCCCCCACGTGGCGGGTTCAACGACCTTGCCCACTTGTCCGGGTCGAGTGGAAGTAGGCCACGGTATCGGGGAACTTCGGCCCTCGCCCGAAGGGATTTCAGGCGTTGGGCGCGATGCGTAGCGGCGTAGCGGACGGCGTAGCGCCTTAATAACGATCGCTACGACGACAGCTACGGCTGTGCAGTTGTCACGATGGTGTCGCGATCGTTCACAGAATGAGTGAAACGTTATTTTGTTTATCATTCGATTTATCGCTCGTAAATATCAATGTCTACACAGGCCGCCAGTAGATGGCGTCTTCTACAATTTAATACATTTTTGTTCGAATGCTCTGTACATAAGATTAAACTTTACAATTAGTAGAAAAAAAACGATTTTAGTTGGCGTGGCGATCGGCCGTTTAGCTTGGTTAAGGCTTCTGTATGCAATTCCGGAGGACGTAGATTTTATTCCCGCATCGGCGAAAATCTTTTCGTCATTTTTTCTACAAATTTCAATTTGTTCTACATAATTTCTCGTTGGAAAGTGTACGTTTAGTTATTAGCTCAGGTTAGAGTGGAGCGGTAACTACGAAGCGAGTAACTACTTAAACATCATTTCGAAGATGACTCCGAAATTAATAAGGGGTTAATTTTGATAGTATCAAAGGATGTATTATAGCGTTTCGAATAATTGATGATTAGGCTACAATACCAGAAACGATTTAATGTCGGCTTAAAGGCTATTTCTATTCATCCTGTGATGATGATAGATTACTTGATTTTAGAATAAATTTTCTTTTTAGAATATTTCTTTGGTGTTGTACAAATTTCATTTATACACGGATAATACAATTAAACTGTCCGTCGGGTAATTTCAATATGACTCAAAATAATAAAGAAACAACGTATATGTATCCCAGTGCTGGGCAAAGACCTTCGCTGTACACAGGCTATAAGGGCATCGATTTCGCATTGCGACACTAATGCGAACTGTGCGAATGCCACGACCTCACAGAAGAGATAAGTGATAACCGCCAGCCACGGATATTTGCAACAACCGTAGAGTTGCAGATGCATTGCTGATTTAACTGTGGTAGGGCATCGCAGCAGCCTCGGCTGTTGCACGAATGGGCAGGCTCGTCCGGGTAAGTACCACGGCCTCACAGGAGACCGGCGTAAATTGGAAGTGTAACAAATGCTTTCGCGTTTCGTCTGGTGAGATGGCCGGAGCCCAATCTTCAAAAGGTTGTCAAAGCCTCTGCAACCCTCGGGTGTAGCAGATGTCCATCGGCGGCGGTATTCACTTAACATCAGTTGAACCGCCTGCTCGCGTGGCAACTTTTTCAATTAAAAATATGTACAAATACCTCACGTCAGAAGCGTGAATTGAATTCATCCCTAAAATTTTATAATTTTCCATAGAGCAATTGGTGCCCCGTAGAAAATATAACATGACACATCATTATCATTTAAATGTACTGTTTCCATGACATTAAATACATTGCCTAATTTAAACAATTTTCACCTTTAAATACATTTTACCCATTTACGTGAAGCGGCTGGGACGTCGGCCTACCGGAGGCCCCCTGACGACATTTTTGATGCGGTATGTGTGCCGTTATATATGTATGGTAAAGACCCATTTACCCATTCCTGCAACAAGTTAGACTGCTGCGTGGCCCTAACACAGTCATAAATATTCTTCACTCTACGTTGTGTGGGAAAGTTGTATCACATTACTTTCCCACACAACCGCCACGTTGGTTGATTTTGTTATTCCCGTATTGGAGACGCCGTTAAATCCGGTGTAATATGGCGCTAAATTGGCGCGACAGTTTTAGATGCGATCCGAAGCTACCACAATGGCAGACTGGCTCCGCACGTGTGCAATGGACCTGGCGGCCGCGTTGGCCGGTGACCTGGAAAACTTTAAGCGGCCGTGTCGAATTACGTTCCGCCGTTTTGCTAAATTACTGCCGAGATTCCCTTATATTCTTGTATTTAACGCTGCCGAGGAAAGAGCATTGACTTTCTGTGCTTATAATTTTCAAAACACGATAATTTTTGATTTATTATGTGCATAGATGACACATTAAATTCGTTACACGGTTTCGATTTCTTCATCTATTGAAATATCGATCGTAAAAGGACCCTATTACTAAGACTCCGCTGTCTGACTGTCTGTCTGTCTGTCCGTCCATCCCTCACCAGGTTGAATCTCATGAACTGTGATACTTAGACAGTTGAAATTTTCACAGATGACGTATTTCTGTTGCCGCTATAACAATACATACTAAAAAACAGAATAAAAAAATATTTAAGTTGGCCTCCCATACAACAGACATGATTTTTTTGCAGTTTTTATAGATAATGGTACGGATCCCTTCGTGCGCGAGTTCTACTCGCAGTTGGCCGGTTTTTTAATGGTTGGCAACGCATCTCCAACCCGTTACTTGTTTTAGGTGTCCACGGGCATCGGTAAGACAATTACCACCATGTGAAACCGCTTGCAAGATTGCCAACTTTCCGCCCAAAAAAATACAGAGTATATGTACTAAATAACTAGGTATATGGCAAGGAAAACTATAATATGAAATTAATCTATTTCCAATACACAGCGAACGTTTACAGGAATCTGAGCCGTAACGTACAACACATATGCCAAGATCACTACATAGTTTAAAATAAAGTCGTACCGCTGTCTATCAGTCCCTAAGTATGCTTAGATTTTTAAACTGCGCAACGGATCTTGATGTGTGTTTTTTTAATTAAATAGAGTGATTCAAGAGGAAGGTTTTTATTTTAACACATTGCACCCGTGCGACACCGGGGTGGGTCGCTAGTATGGATTTTTTTTATGTGAGAAAGTGGCAAACGAGCTGGCGGTTCACCTGATGTTAAGTAATAACCACCGCCCATGGACATTTGCAACACTCGTAGGGTTGCAAATGCGTTGCCACCTTTAAACAAAGTGGGCCCCGGCTACCTCGCTCACCAGACGAAACGCAGGGGTGTAACACTTCTACTTTACACCGGTCTTCTGTGAGGTCGCGGTACTTACCCGGACGGACCTGCCCATTCGTGCAACAGTGTTGCGTGGCCCCACCACCGCAAAATAGAAGAAATTAGAAGACCGAAAAGACTGTTGCTTTACGAGAGGACAGCCGAAAGTTAAGGATTTGAGCGGCCTCAAGAGAGCCAGCACGTTATAGTGTAATCAAAGTGAATGTTCCGCTATCGTATCACTCCAATCCCGAACCCAGCTCGTAGCTATTTGAAAGAAAGAAATTTATTTGGCACATAATAACACAAAAAAATAAAACATATACTAAAAACTAAATACCTATGATTAGAATGAACCAAAATGGTCACCACTCAGCTTCATATCACGAAGTTGACAATCTTCGTGAATGCTGGTTTTCAGTGGAACCTTGGGGGAAAGAGATAGATGGCCCTACGTAATAGTCGTAAAGAATTAATATTGGATACAATAAATTTAAAAAAAAAAACAAGAACATTTGACTAAAAGGAAAAAACGTTAAACAAAGAATAAAATTATTTTAAAACAAATACAAATTACTTATTTTACCTGCCATGCTTGTGTTATGTGTGAAGAAGATTTTGTTGTTGTGTTATGAGATGGAGCAAGAAAGTGTGTGTTTTTGTTCGTATTAGTTAAGAACGAAAGTCTTAAGTGCTGGACTTCTGTTTAGAGAGTAAAAATTGTTTTAGTTTAAATTTAAATGACTTAATGGAATTTATGAGTCTTATTGGGGGTGGGAGATCATTCCAGCACTTTGTGGCAGCAAAACGAAAGCTGCCTCTAAAGATAGCCGTACGGTACTGCGGGTAATTTAGTCTAGGTGCCGTCCTAATGCAGCGCTGTGAGAATTTTAGCTTTTCAAATAAATAGGACGGCTCACCTATTGACCGTACGGAACCGTCAAATTTAGAGGCGGTACACGCATTTCCGCGCGGACGTGGGAACGGGCCACTGATGGCTTTACCGGTCCCGTCGCTGTCGCTCTCAATATCAATATTAGGGTCCCGCATGACCCATCGTGACGCGACGGATAGCGATCTGGCCAGAGGATGAATTTTCGATCGCAATAAGGCAAAATTTGACTTGGTTCGCGGCCGAAAATGCGCTTTAAGCGAGAGGATACTTTCATAAATATTGTTTGTTAGAAATACGCAATGTTCTACAAGAAAATAATGAACGAGTTGTTTATATAAATCAAGACGGCTAGTAAAGGGGCGGCGTTAGTCTAGTGGCCACGGACGTTGATATCGGTTTAGGGTAGTGTGTTCGAATCCCAATTGCGTCCGTTTTGTTTATTAGAAATTATAGTCAAGAAACTAATTGGCACTAAAGTTTGGGTCGTATCCGTTTTCACCGAAACATAGTCAGCAGCAGTTAATGTCCCACTGCTGGGCAAAGACCCTCAGAGAGAATCCAGTGACTTAAGCACTGCTCACTTTACATGTATGCATGCATCCAAATCAGCTTGCACAAAACTTTGAACGCCACCCGCATATAATTCAACAGAGTGTCATTAAAAAGTTTCCATACCAAAAACTTGCAGCCGTACTGGCACACAAAGGTGGCGGTCGATGAAAAAAACCTAAAAAAAAAGCGAACACCACACGACGGCATCGACTCACCACGCCTACAAAAGCGCGCGTGCGCGGTCGCTATGGCAACGCCAATATGGCCGCCATCGCCTAGCAACGGTATGTAGGCTAAATCCAGGCTGAATGACCTACTGTTCCCTTTTTGACTGAGCTAAATTGGTTCTCTGCGATGAATGCGACAGTCTGAGGGTAGTTGACAAAAGCCGCGAACGGATTCACCGATGATATTACGCGAGGTCTGGATTATGAATGTTGCACTGACCTAGTAGCGAGGTTGAGTGTAATGAGGTCGGCCTGCGACCTTATACCCCACTATAGCGATCTATTTATTTGTTTCATATAGGAAGACTTTTCTAAGTGAATCCATTTTTTTATTAAATTCTAGACATAAATAATATTATATAAACATGATAAATATTTAAAATTACTCGTAATTATTTAATTAAAATAAAAATTCATCGAAACTTATCTCAAAAGTGCGTGAATTATGGGCAACTCATTTATTTTACGCGCGATCATTCATAACTAACACGCACACAAGTTCGTTACAAAAGTATACGACGCAATTATGAATGACTACCGCATTGTCAACAAGTTCTGTTTTTTAGGGAATGGAATTTTTTGGAAAAAAAAAGTTTGTTTTTATTTCAATAAACGATTATACTACCGAGCGTGAACCTCATGTGTGAATTTGCCCACCTTATGAAAAGCCACCCTGTATAAACCTTCCTCTTGAATCATGCTATCTAGTAAAAAAACCGCATCAAGATCCGTTGCGTAGTCTTAAAGATCTAAGCATACATACAGACAGCGGGACGACTTTCTTTTATACTATGTATTTTTTTTTATTTTTATTTATACTTTATTGCAACCTTTAAATAAAAAGAATTACAAAGGGCGAACTTAAAGCCTTTTGGCATTCTCTCCCAGTCAGTCCCGGGGCGTGGTGAGAAATCGTGGTAGGTGCAATTATTACATCAAAATATTTTTATGTATTATTTTATAATTACTTAAACATACATGTAGTGATTTATCACCAAAAAAGTACACACAGTAGCAGAATAAATAAACAAGGTTTACAAAAAAGTGACTGTATGGGATGCGCGGTGAGGTGAGCTAGGGCCGCCATTTACAGAGGCCACGAAATGTGCAAAATATATTACAGACCAACCCTTTTTAACAGACTGTTCACAATTTGTACTGTATTTTTTTTAATGTTTGTTACCTCATAACTTTTGACCGGGTGGACGGATCTTGTTGATTCTTTATTTATTTGAAAGCTGGTGCTTACCATATTAATTTCATTGACATTGGATCTTTTGCCCCGGATGTACTTAGGTAAATCAATTTTAAAATGAATACATACCGAGATTCAAAGTCGGTTTTGTTTTTTCGTTATAAAAAGAACTTGTTGCCTATTAAAAGGCCTTTTTGTGCTCTTAAGATGACGTCTTCAAGATAGCTTGTACTATCGGTACTTGGTAACCGACAAACATACTTAAACATACTTTTCTTTTGTGAATAAACACATATAATAGCTACATGAACCAGATAGTACTAGAAAACACTATGTTCTTCACAAAATATTTTTTCACTGGTGGAGATCGAACCCGTACCCTCTGGCTCAAGAGATAGTTCCATTATCCACTACGCCAAACGGGTCGTCTTATTTGTCTTGTGTCCCTCGAACTCGGAATATACGGGTTAGGTTTGTGAAAAAATGACAGTCTAAATTAATTTAAAAAATAGTAATAGATAACGATTTAATTAAATAACTTGGGATTATTATAGGTAAATGTCGCAAAGTTTGATTGCCATGGTAACATCATAGTGTCGCTTCTAGGTGTTGCGCATCGTAAATATCCTCCTTCATAATTTTTCCCCAACGCGCCAAAAGTAGTATAAATTCGAAAAATAAACAATAGACAAATATTACTAGTTAAAGAATATTCATGCTTATATTTGATTCCAATTCTAAAATACAGATAAAAAGGCACTCTTAATTTACAGATTAAAAACAATAACTTATCACAGAGTATAAAAGTGCGAAAACTCACCGTAATACGGCATGCTGGTGACCAAGCGTTCGTTGATCATTTTTCACTTGTATTCAAAATTCGTCACATATAAACACAAAAACACTTTTCCCGCTTCACAAAACCACCTGTCAAATTGACACATTCGATATAAAGAGTGGAATGACTTTTTCATTTTCGAGGTAGGCAACGTTGTCGGATGGATATGTTATTTATTCATTAAAAATTAAAAATTAAATTAAATTTTTCATCTGCAATTTTCCACGTAAATAATATCTTACGTACAAATATATAAACGGTATGGCATCGTTGGTTGAATGTGTATGGTTGATTTATTAAATATATCAGGCTTTTTTGTTTCCCTCCCATCGTATCGAGTTTCAGCATAGAAATCCATAATTACATTAAATAATTCAGTCAAAGATTCCATATATTTTTGTCACGCGTACAATCCAAATCGCTATGGTGTATACGTCTTATGTTCGGTAGCCGCATCGAGCACAATGATTGTAATTACTTTTAAAGTCATCTGATTATTTCGTGCTGAGGCTCCTAAGAGCTAGTGTGTTCAATTTGTTGCTTCATGTGTTCAATTTCTGCAAAAGCTTCTACTGTGGTAGGGCCACGCAACAGTCTTCGCTGTTGCTCGATTGGCAGGTCCGGGTGAGTACCACGGCCTCATAAGCCCGGCGTGTAGTGGAAGTGTTATACTTCTGCGTTTCTGGTGTGTGAAGTAGCCGGTGCCCACTTGATTAAAATGTTGCAACGCATGTGCAACACTACGGGTGTTGCAAATGTCCATGGGCGATGGATATCACTTAACATCCAGCTCGCTTGCAACCGTCTCACGTAAAAAAACGTCTCACATTGCGAAGCTTGAGTTTGGTACTACTTTTTTTTATGTGACAAAGTGACATACTACACAAAGTCTATCTGTGCTATCTTTTATCTTCAGAATTTTTCCCAAACATCATTATAGTACCGAAATTTTGTATATCTTTCTTCATCATCATCATCATTTCAGCCTGTTTGAGTCCACTGCTGAACATAGGCCTCCCCCACAGACTACCATGAAGTACGATCCTGAGCCACCTGCATCCATCGACTTCCCGAACATTTGCACAGGTCGTCACTCCATCTAGTGGGGGGTCGTCCTACACTGCGATGGCCAGTACGAGGCTGCCACTCGAGAACCTTTCTTCCCCAACGGTTATCGGTTATATATCTTTCTTAATTTTTTTTTTAAACATTACTCTTACTTTAGAATAACAAACTGTGTTGTAAGGACGGTTTACAAACATAAATTTCACCTGGACAAACAGCCCGATGCGAAACAAGTATCTGTGGATCACACAAACAGTTGTTCCGTGTGGGAATCGAACCCACGACCCCCGATGCCGAAGCCTATATCTTGGCAACTGCGCCACGAGTCTTCAATAATAAATACATACGTAGTACGATATCAGATATACAATCAACGATATGGCTAACAAGAGAAAAAAGTTGGAAAGTAAAAATTTATGTATATGATTATGGCCACCTATCGGGAATCGAAACGGCGAGCCACTATTCCACAGCCCCTCTTTGGACGACAGCGTCACCAGGAACTAATTATCATTACGTTATCGCTAATTTGTTAATCATTTAATATCGAAATACGTGTTCAATTTTCAAAAGAATCACGTATATAGCTAGAATTATTGTGATTAAAATTTATCTAATGGCGGAACGAAGTCGGCTATGTCGCGTTGGTTAGGTAAAGATCGCGCCTTTTGGTCGCGGGTTCGAATACGTACGTTGTGGGAGGCGTGACAATTTATCGGATTGGGGATGTTTGTTTCTGTGATATTTACATATATCGCAACGGATCGACGTATCAATTCTGCGATTACTTACGATTACTATTACTCGATTAATGATTTATTATTACTTACGATTACTCCACAAGGATCGATCGTATAGAGATCAAACTGACCTGTTTTAAAAAAGTAATGTTCTACTAACTCTCGGACCATTGAGATCTGTATTTTATTAACAAAATTTCATTCCGACGGTAATCACTTAACTTGCCAACTTTTCACATTGTAAGATAGAATATTATTGAACGATAGTTATATACATAAAACGCTAAAATATACTACTAGGAAAACATATACACGTAAACCTTTTTCTCCGCATGAGTTATGTACGTCTTTTTGGCTGCGTCGCCTTTGACTGATCGCTAGATGGCGCTGTGTGATAGCAGAGGTGTGAACCGCCATCTTGACAAAGCGAATCTAAACCGCGAATGAAAAACGCGGGTGTCATTCTAAATCAATTTAGGCTTATTTCTTCGTTAACGGTATCTATAGCCAGCAATTGTAACTGGCGATAAATAATATT